GCTGTTTTGACAGTTATTCTGAGGCAAGTTGTTATTTTGAGGAAAAGATAAATTATTGTGACAGCATGCTGAAGTAAACATGCCTTTTGTTGTCAGATTGCTATTTTCCAAGGAAACTGTTGGACAGATTGTCCTCTCCTACGAGCTTGAAGGGACAAAACTGGCTTAGTGTTATGTAACTGCTGATTGGAAAGTGAGCACATTTTGCTCTTTTCTAATTTATGGAGGTGTATTTTATTAGAGTACACTTAACCCTAATCATTTCTATACAGTGTGTATCATAACCTCAACACCAACAGGAAAGAAAAATACATTTTAGTGGCACATTTCTGATGAATTTTCTTTTGCACAGGATTACATACTGTAAAACCATTATTCTGTAGTTATTTTCCCTCAGGCAGCATCAGTGACAACCCAAAACAGGTGAAGATGCCTATTGCTCATTACCATACCATACCAACTTTATTTATAAAGGACTGAAACAACCAAGATGGACCAAAGTGCTGTACAGTGTGATTAACAATATACGTTAAAAATAAACACAGCTTACAAGGACAGTTAAAATCAACACCAATTTCAGACATCAGTCAAAATAAGTTAAAAATCAACACAAAAATAAGATGTCAATCAATAGAGATAAGAGCGCACCAATAAATAGTATCAAAACGGCAACGAGAATAAATGAGTTTTCAAAAGGGACTTAAAAACCGGCAAAGAAGAGGCTTGTCTAATGGGCAGTGGTAAATCGTTCCATAACTTGGGAGCAGCAGCCGCAAAGGCACGATCGCCCCCTAAGCTTGCGCTTTGTTCTGGGCACACTCAAAAGAAACTGATTGGTAGATCTCAGGGAACGCGTAGCTGTATGCCAGTGAAGCAAGTCAGATAAATAGGGAGGTGTGAGGCCATGGACGGATTTAAAAGCAAATAATAAAATTTTGTTGTGGATCCTAAAATGGACAGGTAACCAGTGCAAAGAAGCCTATTACTCATTAGTGCGTGACAGGTAATTGTATAAACATACACACAAGAGCACTGGCTGACAAAGAAAGGTGGTCAGTACTTAAGAGCAGATGTGAACCTTCAGGAGGTCCTTTGTCAGTGAGGCAAATCCGTTGCATGCATGAATGTGGCACAGACACTCTGCACAAGGGTCACAAAAGGAAAAGAAAACAAAAAATTTGGAATGCCCCTTTAGTGTTTGTATTCTTCATAAGTGGCCTCTAGCTTCATATAATATCATTATACATAATCTGTTATAGTTTATATGAAGAAGACCAGATGTATGTACAGTATGTGGTATTATTTAATATTTATACAGTGGAATTGTTACTGGGACAGCTGAAGGAGTATCTGTGTGTTCCTCATCCGTATTGTTCTATGGATTGCTTTTGTTTTTAAGCTGTTACTTGCAAGATTTTTGCCTCGTTCTTTGCTCAAACCAGTGGATTAAAGGTTTAGTAACAGATTTGTTTTTATGAAAAGAGGATTTGCTTTATTGTCTCCAGCGTTGTTGTAATGAGAGTATTTCCAGCAGCAAGTGAAAGTAGCGTGTGTTTGTATATATTTCTTTGAGGACTGGGAATAGTTTTCTTTTGCTCTTTGTGCCACATCAAACATATGCACATATGCATAGTCATACAGTCATGTGCATATGACCAGAGGGGTCCAATGATAATATAGTTCTGTCAGTGTGTTGCCACAGCATTCTAGGCCAGTAATGGGCACACTATGTCACTACTGTATGTGTAATATCGAGCGGGAGAGTAGCTTCTGTGTTGTTTATTAATGACAACATACAGTATATCGAGTGGTGCTGTCCATAACGTAATAATGATTCAGAGACAGAATCACATCAAGTGGCAGTTAACTTGTGTTTCCAGTAGAAAAACATACTGCGCACATACAGTATGCAAGCTGTATTATTGTAATGATGCATATTTGAGAATGCACACATACTGTGATGATGATACTGTTTGACGTAAAATGTTGAAAAGATTCTCCATGGTTACAAAGATGTCATTTACCTTGAACGGAGGATGATTTAACTAGTGTATCACAGCAACAAGTATCCCAATGTCTGTTATGTCTTTCGGCTGCATCACCATAGTAATATTTCTCCCACTCCCAGGCCCTTTTGAATTTCTGTGTATGTGTTGCCATGGAAACTGACATATTCTTTTGCCTGTGGCTTTTGCGCCATTTGTCCCTTTGTCTGAAATAGAAACCACATGCTGGCTGCCGTGCACTGTATTATATGTCCACATGGCATTAGTCATCTAGCTGCACGGTGCCAGTCCACTCAGCGAAGTCAAAAATCTTTCAGATGTTACACTAATACACTAACTAGACAGAAAAGTCGCTCTTTGCATTTTTTACACCACGTGTCTAATCGTTTTCTTTCTCATCGTCAAATTACCAAAATGAACATAGACACACCGAAACACCGCTTGTGCCAAAACATCTTGATCAGACGCTGTGAATCATCAAACTAGGGCCCCTAGGAGCTAAAGAATTGTGACAGTAGTCGTACGGCAGTTGTGTCTGTACACGGGCTATTCAAAGAGTGTTACATCTCACCAATCATCCACATCGTACTGAGATCCAAGACAATGAATGCTTTGGTTGTATGTTCCTAAGGGATTCAGTGTTACAGTGCACTTTGTGGGATGAGCAGTCTAGCTGAGCAGTGAGAGAATGAATGGATGGATTTAGTGGTCTAGTAACGTGTAATTTCATTAACCTCTGTGGGTTGGAGTATAACATTAGATGACTGGTTGTGAGATTATCATCTATCAGTGCTTTGTAGCGCTCCACTGATGCTGCCAAACAAATTAGCATTTATTTTACAGTATATAACAGTAGCTGACGATCTTTCTCCTGTGAGTGAGAAAATGTGCTGTGAGCAAGTTTCTAAGTGGGGAGGCTGAAATATAATCTTGAGTCCCTCCTGTACAATTTTAATCATGAACTCAGAATGACTTTAAGCCATTGTATTCAGCTCTTGTGTCTGTCTGCTACAGTTAAAACAAGCTAGGATGTCTTAAGTAAACCTGGCCCATGACTTTTAATGGCTTGACGGACAAATGCAATTGTAAAATCTGTGTTGTGTGCTTTATTAAGTGGAACACTAATATGGAAAAGGGTCTTGTTTAGAACTGAAACCTGTTACTCTTTATAATCACCTCATAGTTCTGATACAAAAGGGTTCTAAACCAATAACTCTCATCTTTGAGCATATATGAGTCACTTCCTTTTAAAAGACACTTCCTGTGTTAACTTATTTTGGGTGTACAGTGCTTGATCCTGGTGCAGAAGCCTGTTCGTCAATCTGCACAGATTTTTCCCAAATCTTTTCAATTTGTCAAACTACAAAACACATGTTCAATAGTTCTGGTTTGCATAAAATGTTTCTATATTTTTAGCCAGAGAGGTAGTGAGTCATTCCCCAGAGCAGAGACTGAATTTAGTGCTTCAGAACAAGTCCAACCTTAACAAATGTACAGCCAACCTGACCATACAGGAGACAAAACTATTTATAAGGCCATACTAAAATGTACATTTAGTACAGAAATACAGTATACGAGTGATGTCCACAGGGAGCACCAAAACAAGAAGTCTTTCAAAAGGAAGCGACTTAAAAAGACAGTGACAGTAGCTTTAAATGAGATGCATGTTTCTGACCTGATGCATATTGACAGCAAATCATATAATATCTGTCAACATGGATCTCGCTAAAGGTTAAAGACAGCAGTTTGGGTTTGAAATATCTTGGACTGTGAATTTGAATGGGCACTCCTGAAGGTCACACTGGCTTTTATCTTATTGTTGCCAGAGTCCAGCAGTGATACTAGGATTCAGTTGACCCCTTCTGCTTGTCTGTCAGCAGGCCACAGTTTGTATAGGCTGACACTTGAGAACTGAAGCTCTTCCATCCCCTTCAGAAATCCTGCTGGCAGAAACAGGTCAACCAAAGAAAAGCCTCTTATTTAACTTTTCCAACTGCTTGTCTTTTTGTTTGTAGTGTGTGTGTGTACATGTGGGTGTGTACAGGCATGTGTGCACCCATCAAGCTGTTTGGGAGGTCAAGCAGGAGGGAAAAGGGTTCCCTCCACCAGCAATAAGGAATGGCATACACAGGCGTGCACACACAAATACACATAACAGCTGTTTTCCGCTGGACTCGTGACACACATGCACACACACTCAGGTGGCCCTCCAGGCTGCCTGTGTCCACATCTTGTCTGGCCTGATGATGGCTCTGTTGCTTCACCGCACCCAGTGGGGTCACATAACAAGAGACTTGACAGCAGGAGGAATGTCCTCAAGAAAATATTAATTGAGGTCTAATCATGAAAAACTAAGTTCTTGAAACAAAGTCTTCAGTATGTCTCAAAGAAACTTAAGGAGTAAATGCTCTTTAAGGGGCAACAGGATGAAATTTACCGTATGTTTTCAACTGTACTTGCAGGACTACAAAATAAACACAGACACATTAGAGTCCACTTGTAAGTCTTCTGTCTGGATAAGGCATTAGATCAACTGAAGCTGTGTCTCTCCCTCTTTCTTAACCCTCCTCCTGACCTCTTCTCTCAGTAGACACAGAGGAATGCATGACCAGAGATTCAGATGACTCAAATGTTCTTCAAAGCCAAACCAGTCTCAGAGTTTATGCACTTGAATACAAGTTCACCTTGACCACAGATCACGCCAAAGCTGGAAAGTAAACCTGTCTGCTGCTGAAAAAAGAGTGTGGAGATTCAGACTGCTTTCTATGATATCCTTTGGCTCATTGTTTTGGTTGTCTAGCCTGCAACTTTCAGACACAAGCAGCCACAAAAAGTTATTCAGCACCAAACAGACAAGCTGGTAAACATAAGGAATCATTTAGTTGTTAAACTGCAAGTTATTTGCCAGACGTTCAAGGAGGAAAAGGCCACTATACTGTATGTATACTATAATGTTTTCTACTCTATTCTGTTCTATTCTTTATTCTATCCCAGGGTGATTTCACCTGGAGCAGCTTGTCAGGGCGGAGCGTGCGTCTGATGCCAGTTGACATCCAGAGCCTGTCGGAACTAGAGAGGGCCAGGCTGCAGGAAGTAGCCTACACCCGTTTGCATCAAGACTATGACCTGGGATGTCAGATTACCATGCCAAAAGGTGAGAGCATGCATGTGTGTTGCAGGCACGGCTCATATGATATTCTTAACAAAGATTTGCTGTGTAAGCTTAAACAGTAACTTTCAAATGTCCCATAAAGTAAAGCACTATCTTCCTAAGTGTATCTAAGGGAAGTCAGTGTTTGGGGAAGTTGTGACAACACATGAATTTAGATCTAAACCATACTCTACATCGGGATGGGGTGCTTCCTGTTTGACATGGTTTCTGGTGACCATTAGTCAAGCTAAGCAACTGTGTTTAGGTCTTATAAACTAAAACTTTAAGTGAATAAAGGTTTGGAAAATTACAAAATTAGACAAATTAATCCAGATATAGCAGAATGGGCAGAGCACTGCTGTGAAACAGCAGGAGTTGGTGCTTTTTTCCTACTGGGCCCACCCCACCCATGCTAAAAAGGTACCACATGCATCACAGTTTAAAGATAGAAGAGAATATGTATTCACCCAGACCCACTCACTTTAGAGGAGACAAGTGGGCCAGCCATGACAAGTTCAGGAAAACACAAACTACACTGAATGCAATGTTGGAATGTATAATTTATTCCAAATTTCTGAAAAAGGGATTTTCTAGTTTATACAACTCAGTTATTTTTGTCATTGTTGCCATCATTCCTACCAGTAAAATCAATGTCCTGTTCAACAGGATAATAGCTGATATCTGGAAACAAAGCAATATTGCTAAAAAGAGAACCAGAAACATGAGCAATCAGATAATGAGAATGAGACAATCCACAGTTTAGCCAAACTTATCTGGAAAAATCATTCCTCAAAATGTTTACAGATCAACTTCTGGGATCAATTTACATAATTGCCATAGTTTTCCTGTGTTAACCCTTTGGTGCACCCACTTTAGCTTTTAAAACCAAATGAAGTGGTTGGAGGTTCCCAGGCTTTGTGGTTTGTGACAAAATGCTGCGCAATTATAGTGTCTAGTGAAAAAGTAGTTTTCCCCACTCACATTTAATTATTTGACTTATTTTTATTAATTATTTCATGACCTCTCAGATTTCTCTAATGGCTCCTTGGAGGTCCTGATTGCCAAGTTTGGACCAATTGTCTGAACACTTGTTTCTTGCACCACCACACTTGATGTTGCTGTGTTTCCAGATCTCAATGCAGCACCTTTTCACTGCACTATATAGGAGCAGAGTGGCTGACGTAGCAGCAGTACAGTGCAGCTAGTGGATTATCCAGGGCCTTGCATTCCAGCTGAAGGTTAAGCCTCTCCCTGCCATGATTTAATACATACTTGTCTGTGTTGCTTATGAATTCCAGAGCCCCGGACGGCCGCTATGTGCTTGCAAGAGAAATATTTCAACTCTTCAGTAAGAGTGTGTGTGTGAGTGCTATTTCAGCACCAGCAATGTGGGCTTTTCAGCCCTGCTGTTTTTCTTATTTATCTGAGAACAAGGGGTCATGTTTCTAGTGTTTCTTCAAGAATGAAAAGCAGATTAAAGAAGGACAGTACTGAGAAATACAGAAGGACAGGATGAGGGTGTGATGAGACAGAAAAGCAAAGGTTTCTCAGACAGTTTCACAACTGGTTGGGAGATAAAGTTGGGAGGTTTGGGGGATTTCCGTACAGCTTTGGAAGCCATCTGTCAAAGATCGAAACCATTTCCTATCCCTGATTCTCCATTCTCGCTCTCTTTCTTGCTGCCCTCGTTCTGCATCACATCTGCCTTCTGTCTCACTCCCCCTCCTCACTGTTTCACATCTATTTTTCCCTCATTCACCCTAAACTTTCACTTCTTGTCCTTCCCACTCTAAGCTGCAGTCTCTTTTTTACAGTTCTGATGCACAAAGGCATACGCAAGCTTCTCATACTCTGTATCATCACAGTGGCAGTAAATTATGAAATAACAGCAACTTGTTCAGATTTGACATAGATGGTTGGACACACGGGGAAACTGAACCTGTTCCCTGACGTAAGAGGATAATACTACCGTCGCGTGTGTTGTGGGAGCTGGATAAAATTTCCTGTGCTCCACAAGTGACTCATTTGATACAGCTGAAGGGAACATCTGGGGCTCAGATTGAGGTTGCTAAACCAGAAGATCAAGGCAAAGACTTTCTGAATAGGTCCAAAATGAACTGATGCATCAAATAATTGGTTTTGGATACCAAAAAGCAAACAGTAGAGTGATCAAGCGATGGCGCTGAAATTTGCCGAGGTTTCCATGAAATGATATCCTGGCCCGAGAGAAAGATTCCAAGGCTTTGAAGTTGCGTGTGTCACAATTTCCAGAATTTCCTGATCATTAATCAGCAAAAGTAGGAGTCATTCATCATGTTGACAGCTGACGAAGTGGCTTTCTTCCTTGGAATGGAGGAAAATGCTCATGTGCACACATAAATGCTCTTTTGTGGATTTTTTAAAATATCATCACATTAGATACACAAAGTCCACTAAAAAGAAAAACATTTTGCTCTATGTCATATTTAGTAGGAATTACAAATTTTCACAGCTCTTCAGTCCTTTTTCTTATTTGTCCGATTATTTCTTTACATTTATTTATCAAGGTAATGATGATGTTAAAATCCACAGGTTAATATACAGAAAGTCTATGGATGTCCATTTATGGCACTGCAATGTAAAATATTTCCTGGTACCCAAAGTAAGAAAATCCTTTACACATATTGGCCAGTATAGATAAACAAGACAAGAGATTTAATGTGTTTTGACAGATATTCTTTTCTGCTGAATAATACTGTGGCCAACCCTGTCTGACATCTCAATTAAAAGGATTTAAGTTCATAGACAGCTCTCCCCCTGTGGCTAATTTATGTCTGCATTCCTGACTTAAGGTTATTAAATATAATAAGCAAGATAAGATACAGCAGATATGGAAACCGTTTGTTTCAGCTGATTTATTTTCTTGTTTTTTTCCGGCACAGATGGGCAGAAAAGGAAAAAGTCACTGAGAAGGAAGTTGGATTCCCTAGCAAAAGAGAAAAGTAAAGACAAAGGTATGGCAAGTTCTTTTAACACACACTCACAGGGTTTTCTCTCTCTTTCAGTCTCTCTTTGTCATGACCCCAAACATCTCACTGTGCTGCCAGTGAGACAGAGGGGCAGTGTGTGGTCTCCACCCCTCAGGCAGGTGAACAGGGAGGACATAAAATAGTTTTTATTTACTGGGATTCAGTAGTTTAAATTTAGTTTAGTGGAGGAACTCCTAGTAAGGGAACTGTTGTTGAGAAGCAGCCATGCTGCCGCACCAAACAAAGCATATTTGGCAGAGAGAGAAAAGAAGCTGAGACAAGAACTGGGGATGGAGGGGCAGGAGATAAAATAAAATGGGCTTCTCGTCAAATTTGTGAGAGTGTGGGTGCTGATCACACACATACACAAGTTGTATATGGCCATTTCACATCGCCTGTGTCGTCAACCTTTTATTTAGTATTTAGTGGTCCAACAAGTGGATAGAACAGCTGTCAAGTTCAGAGTTTTCTTTTGGAATGTCACAGCTGTGTGGTCTGAAGATAATGCGCATTCTTTGGCCAATCATAACCAGGCACAGTCTGTGACAGCTGTGGCAACTGGGAACATACAGGCTAATTATACTGGATGAGAAGAAATGCATTTGAAGATACAGTGAGTTATGTGTTAAGTAAGACTTATGACAGGTTTAAACGGAGTTTAAACTTAGTGTGCGTGGGTTTCCCTCCAATATGTGTCTGGCTCTACAGCTCCACAGTGCAGATGGCTCAGATGTACCTGTGGTCTCAACTACCAAAGGGATTTTAATTTCTCTTGGGGCCCCTGGATTACAGCCTCGCCTTTCACTTTAAAGCGGGATCAGTGTTTTTATTTTGCAAAAGAAACAGAGAAAAGGAAAATGCTGCACACAATCTATATTTGCAATTGAGGTTTAACAGCTGTTCTAATCTCCGCTGAGATGAATTTTCACCTCATCTAGTGTCACTCAAGTTGTCAGTTTAAAACAATTACTAACTAGTCTTTTAAATCCTTTTTGGCACATTCCCCGTATTGTCCTGTGAGCTAAACCCCAGTGATCTGTGTGTGTTACAACCAAATATTTGTGTATTTATACATTTTCTGAGGCTGTGAGGGGACGTTCTGCATGAATTGGAACACACCCAGGTAATATAAACACATTACATGGACCTGAATAAGAAACAGTACAAAGAAAAATGAGACTATTGCTCCTAATATGCTGTATGCCTGGGAAATTTAGATGTATGAAATCTGACATGGCTGGGTACATGTGGTCTGGCTGTGCACACACTGTGAAGTGCTATGCTTTATGCTGGCAAAGCCCAATAAATTATGTGATCCAGATTGTGTATATGCACATGTCTGTATGTGTGGTTTACATAAGCCCAGTTAATGCTGTGAGGCTACAGACCAAATTGGTTGTGTCACACTCTTGCACTCTTAGTGGTCATGTTGTTCGTGAACCACAGCCCTCCACTTCTGCTTGTGGAATGCATTTTGCTTTCTCTTCTGTCTTCCTTTGCCTCTTTCCACACACACACTTCAACCGAACAGCTGGACTGATTTTTCTCAGCTGTTGGCTCAGGCCTTTGAGATTATGTATAATTGAATATGTAGCCTGTGACTGCCCCACATATGACATCAGCTCTTTCTGCAGCGAGCCCTGTGCATATCATCAAGTGCTTGCATCCTTCAGCAGTAAAACACAAACTAGCATCAGAAACAAGTCCCAAGTTAATTGCTGGTTTTGTTTCATTTAACATTTGTTTAAACTCAATTTGTCTCCTGCAGCCACTTGCCAAAACAAACTCCATTCTGCCTCTTGCCATACTTCAAAACTAGGCCAAATGGAAAAAAGGAATAAGGACTAGCTTGATAACATGATAGCTGTACAATATGCATGAGTGCTGAGCAGCCTCTAAAAGGATACATGGAGAATATGACATTGCTTGTGGGTTGGAGTCATCAGAGTTGTGTTATTTTAGTCAAAGGCACCAGAATTAGTGGTTTTGCGTAGCCTGACTTTTTCATCATTCTTTCTGTGATGTTTTATTTTGGAAAACAGCTGTAGTACCGTAGTAATCCTCTAAAAGTTTTGACTGACATAGTAAAGATGTGTTGTGTCTAAACAGTTATTTTTGGATGTTGCTAATAAAACTTTATTTTTCTTTTTTCTTCTCCCTTTCTCTCTCCTCCACCTCCTCTTTTCTGCCTTATCTCCCCCCTTTTTTAACAGAATGCACACCCCAGGCTTTCAGTATACCCCTCTCCCAGGTCATTGCTAATGACAGAACACACAGGCAGCGGCAGGACAGCTATCGTCAGGACCCTCCACAGCGCGAGGAGCACAAGGACTCCTCTGACCTTGTCTCATCCATTTTACAGGTCTGTAGATTCATCTATAAACTCATCTACATGCCTGTCCCTGTGTTGAGGTAATACTATTTTTTTCAGGAATGTTTAGGCACATATGTCATGGAGAGTGGAGAATACAGAACAAGTCAAATTATCCCAAAGCCAAATGTAACTTCTGAATGCTCTCATGCAGTTTGCCACCAAGCGGTCGTCCAATAAGGAGCTATCCAGCAGTAACTCCTCACTCAGTTCCACATCAGAGACAGCCAATGAATCAACATCACCCAACACCCCTGAAGCTGCACCACGAGCACGCAGGAGGGTGAGACACAGTAATAAAATTCATTGCAGTCTGAACTGCATGGCACAGATGCGGTTTTTGTGTTTTTGTCACGAGTTTGTTTGAATCAAATGCACGTTCATTTTATCCTCCAGGGAGGCATGTCAGTGGACTCCATCACGGACCTGGACGACAACCAGTCCCGCCTGCTCGAGGCTCTGCAGCTCTCTCTGCCAGCCGAAACACAGAATAAAAAGGAGAAGCACCGGGACAAAAGGCTGAGTCTAAATCCCATCTACCGTCAGGTGCCCCGGGTGGTTGACAGCTGCTGTCAGCACATCGAGAAATACGGTGAGCAACAACTCTACCACCGTAGCTATCACATACAGCATGCACATTCAGTCACTACCACAGGTGCTACACAAATCAGTGAGTTTCCTTTCTTCCTCTAATCAGGTCTACAGACTGTGGGGATCTTTAGAGTGGGAAGCTCCAAGAAGAGAGTCCGGCAGGTGGGTGTTGCTCCTCAGTTTGACAAAATTGAGGGTGTATTTTCATAATAAAAGCTTTCAGTGAGCCCTTGTGCCCTTTATCACAGCATCCACTCATATTTCATTGTGCATCATTTGCATCCACAGATAGAACACAGCACCATACCACAAAACAAAGGAAATTATTTGCATGTGAAATGTTCTTTCACACCTTCTTCACCACCTATGAAAGGCAACAGCAATAAACAAAACCCCTTCTCTAAGAATAGACAGTGTGAGGTCCAACACATTGCACAAAATGTGGTGTTCATGATAACAATGCTTCATCTGTTGCATTTGCCATCTTAATATAAACAAGAGCCTAACACACATGTGCAAAGTCAGCTTTTAAATACCACCTCATTTTCCTTTTCTATAGTGGCAAGAAATTATTACACTTTTGTGTAGCCTATTTAATGTGTCTAAATTCAACCCTAATGTTGAGTCTAGTGTCCTTGAGAAGCTCGACGTTCTTTAAGACATCTTTCTGTTTCCTAGTTAATTCAGCTGTCACCTACTAGCAGCATTCATAAAAGGTTATAGTATATACTGTCCTGTATATAGTAATGTGTTAGCTGTGGTTAGCTCGGCCAGTTTACGTATGGTTATAATGCCTCTGTTATTATAAACTCACTAGCTAAATTTAACAGTTTATATTCACACATTCAAATTCAATTCAGTTCAAATTTTATTTATATAGCGCCAAATCACCACAGAAGTAATCTCAGGACACTTTACAAGGTTAGGTCTAGACCTTACTATTATCACTGTTACTTTAGAGGAAAACAAATCCCCCTTGAGCATTTGGTGACAGTGGGGAGGAAAAACTCCCTTTAATGGTAGAAACCTCCGACAGACCCCGGCTCTTGGTGGGCGGCCTTCTGCCTCGACCGGTTGGGGTGAGTGGATAGAGGAGAGAGAAAAAAGAAAAGCAACAAGACACAACAAACAACAACAAACATCTGTGTATTATGTGCAACAAGTGTAAATAGAGGTCATTCAAATGTCAAATGCCAGAGATATGAATCTACACTAGTAAAACTAGTTTGAGCACACACTCTACCATGGCTTTTAGAGGACCAACAGGAAGTGAGCGCGTGTGCACTATCTAGAATATAATGTCCATTGTTATATGCACAGGATGTTTCTGACCCC